GAGGAATGATTATTGGACTTTGTGAAGGTTTGTGACTCAGACTACTTCTCCAGGATTTAGGGTATGCACATACACATCCCATTCAGTTATATTGTGATAATAAAGTTGCGCACGACATTGCTCACAACCCTGTCCAATATGATCAAATGAAGCATGTGGAGGTTGATAGATTTTTCATCAAGGAAAAACTTGATAAAAATATTTTGAAATTGTCAAATATTTGATCTGAAGATCAGCTGGCAAATATTCTTACCAAAGTTGTGACAAGTCAGATTTTTAGGAGATTATTGGACAAGTTGGGAATGTATGACATCTATTTACCAATTTGAAGGGGAGTATTGAGATAAAGATATTTGATTAGCTAAATTATAGGTGTATATAACGGTACAAAATATTGTATATTCAGAATTTCATTTATTTAGTCTTAATTTGTTGGAGGATAATAATATAAGATCATAAAAATAATATGAATAAAATTATAAAATGAATTCTATGTTTTTTAATTTAAATGATACTAAAATTATTCTTAAATCATAATTAAGAAAAAACTTTCATTTAAATTTCAGTTTCTCATATGATGAGGAATAACAATAATTTTTAACATACTTTTTTCAAAACACACTGTATTATTTGTTATAACTTGTAGAGTATGAGGATTAAAAAAAGGTTGTGCCCACTCGAGAATTCACTCTGTACCTTTTTGTCAATGAAGCATCAATTAAAAAAATTTGACCTTTTTTATCAGAAGCCATTGATAATAGGCTTAATAATCTAACTGGGCAATGAGATACGACTTAGAGCATTCAAAATTAAAACCTCTCTACACCCCCTCATACTAGTTGTAGGTCATATGAATGTTTTTAGTGATGAAAAATAAATCTAAAGTTTTTAAATGAGTACTTCATCATTACTCAAATTAAGTACAAACATGAAATACTGTTTTGGTTCATTCAATATACACTTGTATTTTAAATTAATTTAACTAATATGTCATTTATTTGAATACAACTAAATTTGATTAAAAGAAATTAATTTAACAGACAAAATCCAAACTTAGGAAATAATAGTTTCATTATTAATTCAAAGTAACCTCTTGGATTAATTAGGGAGGGGTAAGAAAATGCTTCTCCACCCGTTCCTGCTCAATTTTTGTAAAGAATTGTGTACATAATAAAATCACTTTTCTATAATATTAGATCAGAGTGCTTCAACATTTTTAAAAATACGTATTTATCTTAAAAAAAAAAAACAATACAAAGAAAGCAAGCAGTATATGAAAATTTGATTGAGTTTTCTGTCATCACAAAGAAAGCAAGCATACGTTTTTTTGAGTTTTCTGTTGAAGATTGGGAGTAAAAGAAAGATGAAATGATGACAAAAGCAAAAGAAAATCCTGAAGCAGAAAGTGATAGAAACTTGGGATTGTGTAATGTAATGTGTTTAGAAACACGAAGGTGGTTGAAAGGGGAAAAGGAGAGGTTTTGAGTTATGGATTAACGCGAATGCATGGTGAGTTATGGAGTGGTGATTGAACGCAGAAAAAAAGGGGGATAAAAACGAAGAGAGAGGCACAGTGAAAAGCAGAAATAACCATGAATTAGAATTAGAGTGAAAAAGGGGAAGAGAATTGCGCATGCGGGATCCAATGCTTGAAAAACATTAAAAGGAACGAAATGGGACCCACCATTGTTGGCTCAGACACACTCTCGAGGCCTCACGCGCCGCTCTTTGTACACACTTCTTCAGACACACACCATCTTTGTGTAACCATTTTCACTTTTTTTCCCTTTTCTCACCCTCCTTCCACTTTCCAATCATTGATTTCATTCATATAAAATATATAAACCAATTTTCTTTCATATTTTGTTTAAATGTTTTTCGTTTTAATATATTGTATAATTTTAGTTTTTTTTTTTCACCTTTCTCATCTGTTTCTTAATAATTATAATTCTATTTTATCGTCACCCTAGATAACTTTTTTCATAAATCTAACTTATTTGCTATGTTAAAGATGGTTTATTATATGAAATATTATCTATCTATTTGAAATCAACGATTACGAAAATGGATTGGTTGGATCGTATTTAACTTTTAACAAGATCAAATTTATTTTCTAATCTAATATAAAAAAATTTAATTAAGTTGGATTGAATAATTTAATAAAATATCATATAAATTAAACGATATTTACATTTTTATTATTAATATTATTTAATAATTTAGTTGAATTTTGTTAAGTTAAAATTTTAAATTCAATGTATAAAAAATTATATCAGATTTAAATTGAACTTGTAGATTGAATTAAGTCAAATTGGATGATGAAATTATCGTCAATAAAAACTCTACAATATATTCTAAATAATTTTTTATAATAATTATACCATTTTTTTTTCACTCTAACATATCTATTCATGACCTCATCGAGTATTACTATTCCCAAATTAACAACAAACTAAACTGAATGGTGAAATTGAATTGAATCAGACAATTTTATTTTATTTTTTGATTATTAACTATTATATGTTTCTTCTTTTCTTTGTTTTACGCTATTAACTGAAGTCGTTGAACAACACAGTATACGTTTGAAAAACTATTTTGATTAATGTTTTTAATCGTTTAATTGTACAAGCATACCTGACTCGTACACATATACTTATGATGTTTAGATGAACAACGTGAATTAAAAATACAATAAAAAAGGTTCAAATAATATTTTTAAATTTCAATCGTGAGTATTTTATAAATAAAAAATTATGATTATAAGTTTGATATATTAATTTATTTCACAAATTTTGAATAGTTTAATTATTTATAAATTATATACTTTATAAATATTGAATTCGTCTGACTAACTATGAAGTACAAGTATAAAAAGAATATTTGATGAATTAGGTAAATTAATGATGGATATTAACGTTATCCTCCAATGACATATTAAAGACGTAATGCTGAAGTAAATTTGACAGAAATGACCCTGTCATTGAGAGAACTACGTGGGACGCGACCCATGTGCTTGGTGGGTCCCACTCCATTATACTGTTATCGATTGAGTCAACTCTCTAGCCATTCTCCACGTGTAACATCCGTTCGATCAAGATCCAAAGGTGCTAACAATGATGATAATAATGTACACCACCACTCCACCAGATTAAAATTTAATTTTGTCATTATAACTGATATCTTTTTAATTGATGTTACATTGTCATTCTTAATTATCATTAGTTCAGATGTTAATTTTCTTTTAAATATAATTTAGATATATTAAATAATTAGTTACTTCACCTAACATTAATTAGTTTTAGATTGTAATCTAAATAAAGTTAGTCTCTCCCTAATTAAGGTTGTAGGATGGATTTGTGTAAAGAAAGGGAAAATGAAGAAGGAATAATCTAAACGCTGACTTGTAATGGTGCTTTTGCAAGGTCTTGCTTTTTTCTATTCTGATGGGCAAATCTATAGTAAAGTGATTGAGGTGCACATTTTGTTAGTACAGGTGCGTTCTTTCTCTATCATCTTCAAAAGTATGTTTCCTACTGTCTCACATTTAGTCTTTATCATACCAGCAATGTGGTAGACAACGACTTGGGTGCCCATTATATTTCTTATAATCCAAAACCTTGTGCCCCAACTTCATTTTCTCTATCTCATGTCTCCCCTATTTCTTTTTCTTTTCTTCTTAGCTACCAGACAAACATCATTCAACCTTTTTCATTCAATCTTACCATCGATCATTGCACAATAATTGGAAGAACATGTTTATAAATGGAGCTACCTATGATGGTTGTAACGAGAGGATTGGTTATTGTGAATGAATGTAGAAAATTGGAATAGTTTTTAGTTAATTTCCAACAACGTGATCATCAGTTTCCACACGAACTGAAAGGGCTAATTTATGAGTGAGGGAATAAAATCGAAATCTTTGACTAAGACAAAGGGTTGTTAATAAAGCAAAGAAAGATTGCATCAAGTAGAATTTGTGAAGGGTCTTTTTCTCCTTGTCTTCCTATTTACTGCAACGACTCCTAAATTTCAATGCGCATGCAAATGTGATTGTCTTGTTCAAAATGTTAACGTTCCTTTGTGCGTGGAGTCCACACCAGACATCAAGTGTTACACGTTCCAGAACCAAAGTTGATTGCAAATTGATGATGTGAATTATGAGAAGATGAAATAATTTGAGAAATGTAAACTTGTAGTAATTGGAAAAATATGTCGGTTTGGGGATTTTTGTTGGTATGTGTTGTTTGGGTTGGAAGGTGGTGTTGATTACTCAATGATATATGGGAGTGAAATTGGTGGGGTTAGCTGCACCTTGGGCCAATCATCTGGCCCCATATCCGTTCACTGGAATCTAGGCTAATGCCCCACTACTACTACACACTACGAAATCATCTCTCCCAATCCAACCCTCAATAATAAGGTAATAAATCCAAAAAGTTGCCCATAAAAGCTTGTGTGTTGAGCTTAGTGAGAAAATAGTTAATCACCACCAAACGCCATTTTTCTACCCCACAACCAAGCCACGTTCACATACGCAGACAAACAAACCCCTACAATTTTTTCTTTCCCACTTCCTCTTTAGCCCACGATAAATGAGTATGAAAATTCCAAGAGCTTTGGAAACCGAGTTAGTGGACATTTTGGCATTCCCCACAAACATGCCCTTAACTATATTAGACCAACAATTTCAACTTCGCTTTTCTTTTTTTCTTCACATGCATATTATAAAACGAGAATAATAATATAATAATAATGCAGAACCAAAAGCTAAAATCTCGCCTTTATATACGACCCATCATGTCACCCCTTGTCCCTATGCTCACACCCTCTCACTCTCTCTACTCCAACTCTTTTCTTTTTTTTTTTCTTTTTTTTCCCCTAAGCCTTAGCTTAGCTGTAGCTTCCCCCATTTTCATCTTCTTCTGCCTTTCTTAGCTTTGTTACTCATCCATCCATCCATCCATTATCCCTCCTAACTTTTTTCTTATCACCTCACAAACATGGCCTCTAGGACTAGGACTGTGTCTGTGAGAGTTCAAGCCGTGGCGGTCAAAGATGCGACCTCCGTCGTAGACGACGGTGGTGTGGGGTGGAAGGGCATTTCCGTAAATATGCGTAAAAGCTGACGACGAATGAAGGAAACAACACAACACAAAAGCTTTGCAATTGCACTCTCCCGAGTTTCTGCCTCATCGCAATGTGAAGAATTGGGAGAGTGTCATCGTTGCATCGCGGGGAATTGAGGGTAGCGGTCCGAATTACCTTTAACTTTAGGTTCTTAATTTTTGTATTTTACTTCTTCCTTACTTGTTTTCCACTCATTTCCTTTTCTTTTTTTTTTCTCTATCTTTTTGTTAATCATTGTTATGTTAATGTTATGATGGAAGAATCATGGGATGTAAGAGATGCATACGAGGTTGCTTGTTTGGTTGCGGTGGTTTTGGTCTAATGGGAGTTTTGTCTTGAGTTTGGGTGGTTAATTTAGGGACATCAATGCTTCTGGCATGCATCACTTACACCCATCAATGTATTTTCCTTTGTTGTGAGTTTAATTAATATAAAAGGGAATGGATGACTTTGGTTTTCTTAATTTATTGTCCCCTTGTGTTGCTCTTCAGCTTTTGATTTTTTCTTCCTTCGATGGGAGATGCAAAGCAGACAATGATAAGATACCAAACGTCCAAAAGAAAATAAAAAAGAACGAGAGGCAAAAGCAATGGAAAAAAGCAGAGTGCGGCTTTGGTGAAACAAAGTTGATCATTTTGGACTTTAATGTCTGTTTGATCACGAATTTAGAATAAAACCAATTCATGAAAAATGAATATTCCAGAATTGATTAAATTGCAAGAAATGAATATGTTACGTCTTCGTCAATGTTTTACCTACTATAACCTACTTTCTCTTTTAACTATAATGTACTCGTGCATGGCAAACATAAATACAACGAAAATGATTAACCATCTGGTTTGATCAACTTTAATTGAATCCCCTTTTTGCCAACCAATTACACTTCCCTTCCACTCTCTATAATTGTCTGAAAAAAGGTCCACCACTCGTAATAGGTTTTTATTATAATTATAAAGCTACTGCACAAACAGTACTTTAGAAAACAATATTAATTGTAAGTCTAGGTTACAGAGGTAAAATGGGTAAATTTGATTTTGCATGCCCAAAAGCTAAAGAAATAAAGTGTCTTTACTGAACATTAGTTGGCATTAGCATGATTAAGCCAAAAAACTTTTTTCATTATTGACATTAATCATCTAATTACATGATGAGCCCCCTTAATGAGTGGCCATTGCCCTGTATAAAGTCCTGCTTTTTAATTAAATCCTCCTCCGACCATTAAGGAAAATGTGGGGTACTTTCTTAGAAGAGATGGATAACAATAATTCAGAAGTTGATATATAGTTTACTAATTTTTAGTTTTATGACCAGGCTATTACAATAAAACGTAAAAAAAAAAAAAAAAAAGTTTTCAACACTCAATGCAAAGCTGACAAAGTTTTTCTTAATAACAAAATTTAAAAATTAGCGTCAACCAAAGATCGATGATTTAATTTGTTTGTTTCAAATTAATTGCAAAATAGGGACGGGAACAATCCATTTCATACTTAACATAAATTTGACCTTTATTATTAAACCTGAATTTGACTTTTTTATTTAACAATAACCTTTTTTAAAGTCTAAACTCACTCTAGTTAAAAGTTCGATTAGTAGATTGTTTTATAGGAAGATTTATAATTAATCCAATAATTACTAGGTCAACGAGTCTAAAAGGACCAATACATATTTCATTACATAATTATTATACATTTTTTAAAGACTAATATTAAGGAAATAATAATATTTTAACAAGCAATATATCATTATATTAAAAATAGTAGATATACACATAGTGTATATATCAATGTTCATCTTCACGACATCAAAAAATGAGAAAAAATTTTACAAACAAAAATAATAAAATAATACATAAAAGAACTTATATATATATATATATATATATATATATATATATATATATATATATATATATTAATTTGGCCTCTATAGTTTTTTTTTTATCCTTATCAAATTTGCAATCACTCTTTTTAATTTTTATAAAATATGTAAAATTTGGTTTTATGTCAAATATTTTTATTTGATTCTCATCCTCTAAAATTTTTAAATAATTGTTTTTAGTCTCTATTTTATTTTGTAAAAGAAGAATAAAATTTATTTTCTAGATTCTGGAGGGTTTTTTAGGTGACATATGTTGACTTTATATGTATTATTTGAAATGATTTGTTAATATTTTATTCAACACATAAGATATATAACATTCCAATTTAAAAGGACAAAATATAAAGAAAATATTTTACACGAACCAAAATGAAAACTCAATTATTTTATTATGACCATATATATATATATATATATATATATATATATATATATATGAAAGATGAAGAAAACATTGTTACCTTTTGTTGATTATTACAGTAAACTGGATATCTTATTATCAAATGTCAATATCTGAGGAAACATGTGCATAGTATTAGGTTTATGGATTTTTTTGATGTATTAATATCTATTTAGTGGTTGCCTTGATATGAAAAGGGTTTTTTGATGATACTTATTCTCTCCTTCTATATCAGAATCCCCTTATTCAAAATTACTTCTGAATATTATAGTAAAGGTTGTCTTATTTCACCCTTTCTAAATATAACTCCATCTAGATAAAGTATATATATGCCATGTTTTAGGAATAATTTGTTTAAAGAATTTCAGGTTATAATTATTTTTTGAACCAAAATTGGAGCATGAACCTATTGGGTGCATGATATCAGGACCACCACAACTAATGCGAAAAGGGTAGCTGATATTTCTATATTCTCTGCATTTTGCAGTACAATCTCTTTACCTTGAGATTGAATATAGAGTGAGGCCAACAAGGAAGTTACAAGGAAAAGGATGGTTGCAACAAGGTTCTTTCATTCTCATCCTCCTTAATTTTCAAACTCTGAAAACTTGGATCAGCTTCCAACTGAAGGAAACTTAGTTGTCATTTCATTATTGAAGACTACATGTGAGAGGTGCAAGAACATGGTTGCAAACACTCTTGAATATGTGACAGAAGAGGTAGCAAATCTCATTTTTTGTTTTAGCTTCTCGTCTCTGTTCCTAGTGGATTAAACAGCAAGCTCTATTTGCAGGAGGAAGTAAATAACATAAAAGGAAAATAATATCTAAGTGGGTAGCGCATAATCTCAAGTTTTTAACACTTTTAGTTCAAGATAATTTAATACCCAATTATTGCTCACATGATAAAATAATAAGGAATCTCATGTGATACAACGCAAGAAGAAACCAATAATATCGATAACCAGACTTAAAAAATAGAGAGTTCTACATGTGCTACGAAAATTCAGAGCTTTAGTTTCTATCCACACTATCATATGTTCCTCAACCTCAACTTGAAAAATCATTTGCTAATTTCGGATTATCATGAGACATTTTAAAATTTTCAGTTTATAAGAAAATTAGTAACACTTAATCAAATATCATAAAAAGGAATCGTAATTATCTCAAACCATCAAATAATAGTCTTTTGTAGACATGAATGTTGCATCCATTAAGAACCCATCAAAATGAAGGAACCCACGATGAAAATTGGCCTTACACTGTTTAATTCCAGCACTGCAACCCAATTCGCCTTTTTATTTTACAAATTATTTTATTTTCTCAGCTCAAATAATGATGAGATCAAAATTTAAGAATAAATATGCTTTATCTATTTTTCACAGTATAATAGACTTTTTTTTATCAGATAATTAAGTGTATGAGATTAATGGAGAAATAAATAGAAGAAAAAAAATTCAAGCATTTCACGTTTTTTGTGTTCTGTTTAACATTTTTATTGAAATGGAAGTGTTTGTTTGAGTCAGTAGTGGACATATATGTCAATTAAGTGAATGTTATCAGAATCTTATCATAATCCAAACAGCTATCAAACCTTCTTCCCACCAATCTTTTATTTTAGTCATTTAAAATTTCATCCCCTCCTCTCCTATCACATACCATTGCTTATCTTTCACATTTTTTTTGTTATGAAACTTGTCTTCCATATCTTTTAGATTATTTCTTTATGAACTGTTATAAAAATGAAAATAATTTTAATTTACATCAAAAAAACAATTAATTTTTTGTGTAAATATTTGAAAGTAAAATTTTGTAAGAAAAAAAAGTTTAATTTTGAAACTGCCACCGTCCAACGATTTGGGTCCATTCAACTTCTATCATCGGTTATCGATGAAGATTAAGAGATCACCTTTTATAGCAAGTTGAATTATTTTAAATATTTTTCAATCAGTTAAGAGTACTTTCCGCTTTTAGATATTTTAGTGAAGAAAAGAAGAAACTTTATCGCTGACGTGGAAAGCCTAACTTACTCAGGCAAATAAACATTTTTTTAATAAAAAACAAATATCACACAAAAAAAATTATTTCACAGATAATAAAATTTCTGTAAAAATATATAAAACATATCATTTTATATAAAAAATTATAAATTAAAAAATACATTTATTAAATTTATTCTATATAAAAAGTAGTTAATTTTTAACATATATTTATGATCTCAAAATGATTAAATTCAGGAAAATAGATTGATAATTTTAATTGATTAATTTGTTTTGATATATTTCATGTAGTTAATTTTTAACATATATTTATGATCTCAAAATTATTAAATTCAAGAAAATAGATTGATAATTTTAATTGATTAATTTGTTTTGATATATTTCATGTAGTTAATTTTTAACATATATTTATGATCTCAAAATGATTAAATTCAGGAAAATAGATTGATAATTTTAATTGATTAATTTGTTTTGATATATTTCATGTAGTTAATTTTTAACATATATTTATGATCTCAAAATTATTAAATTCAAGAAAATAGATTGATAATTTTAATTGATTAATTTGTTTTGATATATTTCATGTAGTTAATTTTTAACATATATTTATGATCTCAAAATTATTAAATTCAAGAAAATAGATTGATAATTTTAATTGATTAATTTGTTTTGATATATTTCATGTAGTTAATTTTTAACATATATTTATGATCTCAAAATTATTAAATTCAAGAAAATAGATTGATAATTTTAATTGATTAATTTGTTTTGATATATTTCATGTAGTTAATTTTTAACATATATTTATGATCTCAAAATGATTAAATTCAGGAAAATAGATTGATAATTTTAATTGATTAATTTGTTTTGATATATTTCATGTAGTTAATTTTTAACATATATTTATGATCTTAAAATTATTAAATTCAAGAAAATAGATTGATAATTTTAATTGATTAATTTGTTTTGATATATTTCATGTAGTTAATTTTTAACATATATTTATGATCTCAAAATGATTAAATTCAGGAAAATAGATTGATAATTTTAATTGATTAATTTATTTTGATATATTTCATCTAATCGAATGAATTATTGGATTTTTTTCGTGGAAGAAACAATACTAATGAAATATGAACTAAATTCATATAAGGAATTAATACTACTCTTTATCAAAAATCTTAAAACATTAAGTTGTGTTTGATATTTTTTATATATTATTTAATTTTTTTATTTATTTTTATATTTTATAATACTTAACTCACATTTAGATTATTCGTTACAAATTAATCTATTAATCTATTTTTCTTGTTTTACATGAAAGAGTACAAAAGAGAACATAAATTTGTCTGGTATTTAAAAAAACATTTTAGACAGTGAATCACATGATAATGAATTATTATTTTGCTAAGTATTATAAAGCATGAAAACAATTAATTAGAACGATTGAGCGTTGCGGAAGGAGATTGATCAAACGATGATGGCAATTATGATTGGTTTATATGCAAGTAAAGGTGTTGAAGGTTGTAATAACCTTGGAGAGATTTGGGTTGGCATTGAAATGTTTGGTTTGGGGATGGATAGGAACGAAGAAAAGAGGGATAAAAAGTTTCCCTACGAAGAACAATAATGAAGGTATGAGAGAAAAATGGTGGAGTGTGTTATGTTATGTGAGAGAAGCCAAGCCTACAACTGGTTCTAGGATAGTTGTACAAGGTTGGACTGGGTCCATTCTAAAATTATGCAGACAACAAAAAAATGTGAAAGTGATGCAGCAAGAGGGGTTTTGTGTTGGGGACCATATGCCACCAAACTATTCAAATATCGTAATCGTTGCAATTATTTTGAAACCTTCACTTTAACCCATTTTATACTAAAATCTAACAAATCATCGACCTTCCTATCCAAATCAAAATCCTCTTGACCCTCCAATGCCTCCAATTTTTTATTTTATTTCCATCCACTTGCCACTCTAATTAATGCTACAATTGTACCAAACAAAATGTTATGCAACTTAAAAGTATATTTTTGGTTAACTTGTAAATATTTCATCTCATTTCTAACAATCCTTTTACTCTTTTATTTGTTTTCGAATTTGGTGTTTTTTGAATGATCATTTTCAATTACATAACATGTTTTTGAATTCATTTTTAACTAATTCAATATATAAAACTTATACTATTGGATTCACATGCGTATGGGAAAATTATATAGCTTAACTAATATTCATATAAAAAAATATCATAAAAATGCTAAAATTGTAAAAAGGTAAATTAAGGAACAACTAAAAATACAAAAATATAATGTAAGATTTTTTTATTATTTTTTGCTTGACTAATTAATTTTGTACTAGAATTTCTAATTAATTTTAAAAATTTCTAATTAATTTATCTCATATATTTTGTTGGCATTCCGAATGAACCAGCTAGGATCGAAAAGAAGGGAGTGTGAATGGTCCAATTCCTCTATTTCTCCACCCCTCACTTCACCTCACAATCTCCACCATTATTGCTCCTCTGTTCCTCATACTAAACTTCTGCAATTATGATGGGGACGTTTTGGACTTAATTACTCTCAGTTTTTCTCTTTATAAAATTCCCTATTCAACTTGGTCGGTTCTTAAAATAATAATATAAATACCAAGCTTATTCCACTTCACTTTTTTTTTTCTTAATTTCATAGTATTGAATTATCACGTATGTTCTTTTGCTTTCTTATTTTTGTAAAAGAAAATAGCAACAACATAGGATAGTGAATATGTCAATTTTATTTTAATTTAGATGTTAAGTCACAAATATTTGTATGTTATAAGTAACAAAAACTTACCTGAGTCAACAAGTGCATACTACTTATATACTTTATTAAATTAAGTTCGTAGTCTTGGTCTCAATATGCCTCCCTCCAAACTATTACTTCACTATAACTTAAACTAATGATGTCGTGACTCATAATAATTATATATATATATATATATATATATATATATATAAACTAGATATTTCATGCTATATTAATTTTACTTGAGATTTTAAATATTTTAAGGATGTCACCAAATTTTTGTGGATGTTAATGCCGTAGAAATTATGAAGTTATCTATTGTATTACAATATGCTATAGTTGAAGTGGAATTTTAACATAATATAAGTATAAAAATAAATTACATTTTATTATTAGTTGTATATATATTTAGACATTGAGGGGAAGATATTGAAAGAATTAATAAAATGGAGGAAAAGAAAAGAAGAATGAAAATTGGTGGGTAGTTTGAGTGACACGTCAAGTGACTTTAAATGGTGACGTAGATAGTGGCGGCGCATGCTGAGAGAAGTCTTCAATGGCCACTTCCACAGACCACGCACCTTCTCCACCTCCTTCAAAACTCTTCATACATCAAACCAAACCAACAAATTCCATTCATTCATCACCACACCAACCACTTCTACCGAACTAAACATTACTGCTATTTTCTAATTAAATTTTAAATTTCGCTATAAAGCTCATATTATTTCATCACAATAGATCGTAATCCAAGTCATAAAGACTTAATTCAATATCAACCGTTCAAGTTTATTTAGTGTTATTCCCTCATCAAAAATTCAAAATCTCTCTAATACCCAATAAAAGAAGCCTCAGTAACCCAACCCAAATAAAAATAACACGACTCAATAATGTCCACTTGCGTATACATAACTATCTCTATCATCATTTCCTTCTATTTCTCATTTGACTTCTTTTTTATTTTCTTTCTAATTTCCAAAATAAACCTTCCTTTTTCTCTTTTTCAATAGCAGAAGCTAGACGGTGAGTTAGAAGTAGAAGTATCCAATGTTTTTAACAAAGTTAAAGCGAAAAAGAAAGTGTAATAATATATTGTTCTGTTGTGGAAATTTGTCCATAAACCTTCTAATATCTCCGATTATTAGCATAGACACATAGGAGTCCAAAATTTACACCAGCTCAAAAGGGATTCTCAGACGCTAGAAAACCCTTCAAAAAATACCTTCACCAAAATCACTGTTAAAAGAGACAAAAAGAAAAAAAGAAATCTAGCCTAATAATACCCTAAAATAAATAAAAACCCTAAAACTAATAAAAAAAAGGAGGGAAAGAAAAAAAGAAAAAGAGAAAAGAAACCGCGTCCAGGTCTGTAAAAAGTGATCGCGAAAGAGGGGTAAAAGTGGGAGATTGGAAAACCGAAACGGCGTCGCATCAGTGAAGGGAGAACCAAGAGATGAGTTGTTGGCCGAGGCGGCGTTCGGTGAGGGCCACGCGCTCGTCGGAGAGGAGCGGGGAACGGCAGAGGGGGCAGTTGAACTTGTAGTGGTGGAGCCACCCGTCGAAGCAGCGGCGGTGGAAGACGTGGCGGCAGGGGAGCATGCGGAGTTGGTCGCCGTCCTGGAAGGCGGCCTGGCACACCACGCAGGGGTGGTCGTGGGCGGCGCCGTCGTAGCAGAAGAATTGGTTGTTGAGCGTGAGTTGATCGGAGAGCATGATGATTCCGGCAAGGCCGGATCCGACAGCGGCGAGGAAGCGGTCGTCGACGATCTGGTGGGTGTGGAATCGACCAAGACCTAGGGATTGCAACACCGCCAGGAGCATCGAGCGGAGGTAGTTGACGCACATGGCTATCTGCGCCAAGACCAGCAGCGGAATCGAACCCGACGACACGTCGTTTAATTGGCTTTGCAAACCCATGATTCCAATTTTCCAATGAATTCTCAACGAATGAATGAATACAGAGAAAGAAGATTTGAAGAGGTTGCGGTGTCTCGTCTCGTATCGTGTCGTGTCGTCTTTCTGTGGATTGCGAGAACACAAGAGCTTCCACCTCTGCTATAAAAAGCCCCTCTGATGTGATGTCAGGGACTACACTATGCTAATTTAATTTAATTCAATTCCTATTTTTACAACTTTTTTTTAAATATATAACACAAATCCAATTAATCAAATTGAATGTAATAAAAATAATTATATTAAAACGTTATTAAAAAAAAATACTAATGTAAGGTTTTCCTAAAAATAAAATCTCCCTCGTTTGATGATTAGGTGTCCCAAAGCTATCGGTGTTTGGGACGAACAATAATACGAGCCATCTCTCATGGGTCCCCATTCTCTGTTTTAGTTTTAATATTATTCATAAATATTTACCATTTTTTGGAAAATTAGAGAAAGGTTGCAACATGAATGGGTGACTAACTACCTTGGTTTTAATGTAACAATTTAATTTGATTTCTCGAATGTAACACATGAATGGGTACAACATTTGTGTTGGTTTGCCAATACATTAAACATGGTGGAGTCAATGCAAGGTGATGATTTATTTAAAAGCAAGTAAACTAAAAGCAATTTGGCATGTGATCTTTATCTCATACATTGAACTAGTTTCGCTTTTCAGACGTGAAAAGATCGACAGGATCTTTCAGAAATATGCAATACGTTCTTCTTCCTCTTCTTTCCCCGTATTTTAAGTGTGTATGTGTGTTTAAATATAATGAATCAAACTTCTACAACTAAATTATGCAGCAAAAGAAGGAAAATAATGGAACTTATAAAACGAATGATTTATACCAACACGTTTCTTGAAACTATTAGCCGTGTTGTTTCAGTTATTCTTGTGCTAAGATATATGTGAATTTCAGTCAAAGAAGTAAATGGAGTTGGATAGAATATTTGTTTTCCATTTTATTTATCCCTAAAAAATAATTTATTCTTTTCCGTCGATTACTTTAAGATTGTGTTGTGTCCCCATTTTTTTAGTTGTAAAGCAGAGTGTCCCTCGATATATTTGAACTTTTCTGTCTTTACTCTAACGTGAACTCACATATCTCATTTTGCTTCTGCACTAACCTCATCTTCACTCTAACATAGATTGTCATCATTAATTCCCTGTTCTACTTATTGCTTTCCTTTCTTCACATCCATCTTAATTCTTATGAGGTGAATTTTTATGTAAAAACTTTAAATAAAAATATATTACTATTTGGAGATAGTTAATATAGTGAAAGTTAACATAGAGAAATAAAACTTAATTTATGAAACGTGTAAAATTACTGTTTTTTAAAACTTATAATCATGATTCCTAAATCATGTAAATTATTTTCTTTAAATATTTATCCGTAAAATATTGCACAAGTCTTCAAAATATAATAAAAACTACTCAAATTTTTCGAAGAACTTAAAAATTTAGTAAGAAATTTTTAAAAAAATAAATAAATGCAAGATAAAAAAAAACAAAAAGAAAATTAGAAAAAAAAGATGAATAAGGTGTGTATTTAGAGGAATATAAAATGATATATTTATAAGTATAAATTAGGTTAAAAATTTTAACAAATCAAGTCAAATATCCACTAACAATCACGTCTCCTTTATGGAGGTGTTATGATGTAGCGATTGAAACCCATATTTACAAAGAATGGGTCACATACAGATGCCTAAACAGATTATGCGCATATGTGAGATTTGTAATTCATAGGGTTTTTGTTGTGCAATACTCACATTTCGTAATAACTAATTGATTAATTTTAAAACAATAAGCTGAAAATAGAGTGTTTAATAGAGTGTTTAGTGTTCTTTTAAGGTCGAACATCTATATTCCCTTTTTGTTTATCACTGCGTGATTTTCTTGATATGATTGTTCAGATGTTCTGGATGATCGATTTTTGGTTCAAGAGAACGATAGAGTATATCTGTAAAATAATATCTAAATAAATAATAAATTAGTGTATTTTATAAGATTTCATGGCACAAAATTATATTATCTTTTTATTTTATTTTTCAAGTTATTGATATTTATATAATGATAATTGGGTGGTAGAATTCAAAATTTGAAAATGAGACTATTTTCAGAGACGTATGGTACATTTAGTTATTTTAAGAGAAGAAATAATAAAATATGATAGGATAATAATGAGAACAACACAGTACTCTTTATAAGACGTGTATAAGGGATATTCTCTTGTCGTTTGGCCTAATGGATTATTCTCTTATATGTATTGTTGATAAAGAAAGAAAAGGTATGATACTAGATATTGATATTCATGTACGTATGCTATTCGGTTTATTATTTTGTGTGATGTAGAAAAGAGTGTTACCTTTTTATACTTTATTTTTAAGTGATACTTGGTTTTTTTTTTTTGTCCATTGCTCTAAAAAGGATAAAATGACATCCTTCTATTTAAAAAAATAAATAAATATAAGAAAGAAGCACGAAGTAACAAGAGTTCAGACACACAACTTTGCCCCTTGGTCTTTCGAAGGAGTTCCACCACTAAAGAGCATATTTTAATGTTCAATTGATTACAATGTAATAATTTATTTATAATTTATTTATTTATTTTATAAAGTGAATCTTGATACATTTTTCATGGTTCAATATGCTAATAGGAAGATTTTTTATCTACAACAATTATTTTTCCTTTATAATGAGAAGATTGTAGCTAGCTACGATTTGATGAGAAAAAGAGAAATCCTTGACTAACAAGTAGAGTTTATTAGGGTTTGGTGGGTGAGAAATAAAATGTTCAATTCATAAACCCAAACTTAATCATAAAATAGAGAGATGGAGATGCTTGGAATCTTCCCTTCCTCGTGGACTCTTTTTAGTGGATATTCTATACTTTTTTGTTTCTTTAAATCTTTGAGGTGGAAAAATATCAAACGCTCTACCACTTTAACATCAATTTTCTAATGTCTATTTTTAGAAATTATGTTATTATACTTTAACATCAATTTTCTAATGTCTATTTTTAGAAATTATGTTTTCTTCATAATAGTAATTATTGGAAATATTATATATAAATGTGTTTGCTACGTGTATGTTTAAATATTTTTTTTAAATGCTATTATATCTAAATTCACCTCCGTAGAAATCTTGAATTCTAACCCATCTTTTATGATTGTTTTGTTGGAAAATTCGTAGGTATAAAAAGTCGTGCGATGAATAAATGTTATTGAAAAAAAAATGGCTCTCTGTATCTTTAATGTCTACTTGATTTAAATTTTAGTAAAATGAATTTGAAAAGGATTGAGATAAAAAACGGTTATATTTAAAAAATAATTCAAAAATTAAATCTAGTTAAATAAAAAATATAATTACTTTTAAAGCATGTAATGAATTGTATCTTTTAATTCTCATGTCTAAAGTTCACTATATCTTTGTAATCAATCTGTAATATTAGTTACAGAATAATATTTTAGTCAAACAAACAACAGTTTTTTTAATGTAAACTGTGGTTGCTTGTAAGCAAACAAGATATAGATCACAAAGACTCCAATATAATATTGCAAAATAATTATTCTAAAGATTCCAAAACAGCAGTAATACATAATTATTCTAAAACCTCACTTTATTGGACAAAATTTCATGAATAGTTTATATATTATTAAGAAATAATAAGGTAAGATTTGAAACTCTTAACTTATAAGTTTTGTGTACGGAGAAATTAATTATTGAAAGAATTAATCTTACCATATTTTCAATTTTAAAAATTTTTAGATTTAAACTTTGTCTATGGAAAAAACCATTACAAAAATAAATAATCTTATCTTATTGCATGCAGCTATTTTGAAAATTCACTAAATGAAAGAAAACCATTACTAAAAAAGCAGGTATTAATTATGACAATTATTTTTCTAAAATAATGGAAAAATATGAGTGGAATAAACATTACAGTAAATTAATTAAGAGAATAAACATAATTTAATAATTAACATTGGACCGAAAAATCTTCCATTTTTGGTTTTGATGTCAAGGATTTGAGATTGTAAGATAGAAAAGAAATGAAGATATTGGGCAGCAAGTTGTGATATGTTTGTCTCTTCAAATATTAATAACCAAGTTGTGAAACATGCTGCACCATGGGTGGTAACTAATCCATATGCCTGGGTTGTGCCATGGAAGATTTCAAACAACAAAGTAACACCAAACAACTAGATTAGGGTATTTTCGAGAAAACCTCTAATTAATTATGACATGTCAGAGACTAATTAATAGGGTTTGTCTATTATTTTGTGATTGCAATTTGCAATGGTTTAAGGAGGTGTTGGGCTGGTTGTGATAGAAAATGAAAAGAATCTCTCTGCCAACTTTAATCTTGTGGCGTGAGTTAATGTGTAGCTAGCTCAATTAATGAAGCGATTAATTAAAAATGTGTATTAATTAAGATAAAGCAAAGAATTGATGGGTAAACGCGAGAGGGCCAAAAGAAGATGTCACCAACATTTGCAACACACAGATTTTGCATGATCTGCGTGGGTCGGTGACTTGTGTTCAGACTATAAACATAATGATGGTCTTAATAGCAGAGTTAACGTATTAAGGTTTTTGAGCTCGTAATAAACCGACAAACACAATGTACTTCAAAATTCAACATCTTTAAAATATTGATTTTCGGATTAATGAGTAAAATTATTAAAAAGTAATCCAGTTATCAGTCGGTAATTGCAGTGAAGTAAGTACAAAACACTTTTTTATTTTTAAATTGTTAGGGGTAATTTTAAGTATTATTTCTCTTGATTAGTTTGCTTAATTAGATTAAATTAAGTTAACGAAGCATACGAGAGTGTTCCGCATTGACCCGAATCCAATTCACGCCGTCCAATGAGATCCGCGTATCTACCGACCGCATTTTTAGTGGCTTGAAAGATGAGTGGGAAAGAAGAGGAAGGAACCACATGTTCTGGAGCAACCAGAATAAATTAACGATTATTGTGTTTTAATTCTTTTTATTTTTCTTAAGAACACTCTTTCCAAAATTTCACTGAACCGGAAACGGGTCTAGGTGCGTTATTTTCAAATAATTAATTTTTAATTACATTAAGATAAAATAAAAAGATCAAAATAAAATTAGTAAACTTAAAAAATTTGGAGCTTTTGAATTAAATTGATTTTGGATTTTAAAAAAATTAAAATTATTTTTTCATATATATTTTTTATAAATATATTTTAATTTTTTATCTTATATTAATTAGTTATTTTATTATATTTGTATTTTTTAATAATTATTTATTTTATATTCTTTAATATATTTTATTAAAATTTGATAATGATAATAATTTTTTTTTATTTTTTAAGAAATATTGTTACTAATAATTTATTATATGTTTATTATATTATAATAATTAAATTCGATTAACTTCGATTCTATGTTGATGCGATTAATAACTCGTCCAGGTTTAAAACAATTGATTAAGACCCACGTCTCTTCCTTTCTTTTATTGAATAAATGTTTATTTTTCATCGTAATATTAATTATTATTTTTTTACAGATATTTGATAATAGGTGAAATTTTATAAATTTATATTTTTCTATGATTTTAATTAGTTTATATTAAAAAAATTAGAATGATATTTTGTATTTTTTTCATTATTCAAGGTAAAAAGTGAATGATATCTTTTTTAGATAGTAATAAGAAATGTTATTAAATAGATTTTTTACCTTAATATTCTGTTAAGGAGAACATGAATAGAAACAACAACATTAAAATATCTAGAGGAGACGAGAAATTTAGGATGAAAATTAGAGCTAAAAAAATAAAGAATTTTTTTTATTAATTTGTGAGAAATATTTCTTCTAAATTCATAATTGAACTAACGAGGTTTTTCACCGTTTTTATTACATTTTTATAATGTTTTTTTTTTAATCATAAGAGGACGTTGTTTTCCATATATTTATAAATTATACTGTAATTAGATCCGTGTCATCTGTTTTTATTATTAATTGTTTATTATAAATTTGTTAACAATAGATGATATCATTATTAGTTAACTTTAATCATTTTTTAAGACTGAACTTAATCCAATAAATAATTACTTGCAAATAAGATTACTTACTTTAATCATTGACTTGTTCTTAGTAATTTTTACATATGAACTAAAATATGAATAAGAATATATTATAATAATAAAAAGAGACTACTTTAAATTCAAAGTGCAACATTTTTTTTAAAGTATGCAGAGATAAAAAAATAATCGTAAATATAAATATATTTTTATAAATTTATTTAAATCATTCATGTATCATTAGATAATTCTGGAATTAGAAAAAAAAATAAAAATTAGATTTGAGTCTCTAGAAAAAATGAATTATATGTTTGATTAAAATACTTAATTATCACATTAATCGCTTTTACTAAGTTAAATTTTCTCTTTGTCTACGAATTATTTCCATTCTTGAACTCAAACTTCTTTTTAACATTTTTAATTGATTAGCAACATAAATGTTTATGATGTTTATAACTGTGGATCAAATTTATGGATAACCAAATACTCTTTTTCTTTCATGTTTAGTAGTTAAGGTGACTAAACTTATTTTTTTTAGTAATCACTCCCACCATTACAGATGTCATTTCTACTCAAACCCACGAGCAACAACAAAAATGATCTGTAATTAGTAAATAAAGAAGTTGGTTATGAGTTTTAATGGAATGAGTATCAAATATCCTATTTGGCTGGCAAGACTTTTAAAAAGATATCTTCTATATCTAAAGGTTTACTGAATAGTTGCCATTGAAATGGAGCTATATATGCTTGTTTTATTTTTTTCAAATGAATGAACTTGTTTATGGAGAAGCTTATCTGAAGGTGGACCTGCCAAAATATCTTGATTGGGTTCATGGAACTGTATCAATTTTGAAATGGCAAATCTAGTTTTAGGTACAACAGACATATCAAGTTTTCTTTATTACTTTTTGTGCTTGACCTTGACATGCTCTTTGGATATGTATTGGTTGGTCATGGCTACAGAAAAAAGTCTGTGTAGAAGAAAGAGATAACTAAAGAATTCAAGATCACACTCTAAGCTATAATGGCAAACACAGCCAAATGGGGGAAGGTAAGAGTGTCACAAAGACAAACACTCTTTGTAAGTAATTAGGTAAAACATCATTGTATTCCTTGAAAATGTAAATGATTCTTAAATTAAAAATAAACAAACCTATGTAATTTTAAGAACTTAATAATTATACATACACTCTGATACCCTCTCTTTCCATTTCTTACTTAATTTGACGTCATCCCAAAAACAACAGAATTAATGAAAGTTTGCTATCAAGGTGGGTGGCAAAAGTAGTGAGTTGGCATTGGATTGAATAATATAAAATGTAAATAGGTAGAAGGTGAACCTATAAAGCATAGAAGATTGTGATATAGAAGTGTTTCTAGGAAGATTCAGGAAGTATTATGGTGGAAGTCCATTACTTAGTGGAAGAAGGAGAGTCCAGAAGATTCTTAAAATATTAAGTACGGAAGAAGACTCTTTCAAATTCATTGAACTGGTGATTATTAAGAAGGGCTAAAAATCATAACAAACGTTAACATCAGAGTGCACAAGTGTATTATTACTCAGAGGGCCACATTTTCCAATCACACTTTGCCTTTTAGATTAAGACCCCAACTATCCAATTTTCATAATTATGCATACGCATGTTCAACTCAATTCATCAATTTCAAAATTCAATTATTACAATTTTTTTATTAAACTATTAACATAAAAATAAGGTTAATTTGATTGATAAAAGTAACGATATAAATATAGTTTAGGATTTGACACTAAAAATAATTTATATATTTTTTTTATTTTTAAAAAGTATTTTTAAAGATAAAATTTTCTCGATAAAATAATTAATTTTAACCTTAAAAGACTATAATTGAAATTAACTTAATAGAAAAGGGATAAAAGATAAATTTATTTGATTTAATGAAAAAATAATAAATGAGTAAAAATTTATATTTATATTTTTTTAACATAATTTTTTTATGAACTAAAGAAAATTAATAATTTTATATTTCAAAATAAAACAAATATTATTATTTGTTAATTTTTAAAAAATATTAAAGAAAATAAAAAACCATTAAATACATAAATAAGATTAAATAAAAAACCATTAAATACATAAATAAGAAAATAATCTTTGAGGGGATATGATCTCTTCTTTAGGGACATATGAGCAACTAGTGCCAGCTAGCTAGGAAGATATATGGTAGGCTGTGTAGATAGATCACAAAGTCAGTGAAACACTACCCGTTCTTCTTTTAAGTTCTCAACTTTTTTCTTTACATTTTTAATATTATGTCATGTATATATATATATATATATATATATATATTAATATTATATTGCATGATATTTCCAAAATTTTCGCAAATTATATTTTTACCATTATAACAATATTTTCGCAAATTTAAATAATTAAATTGATATATATATATATATATATATAAAATTTAAAAAAGGAATATTTTTAAAATAAATGAAATGGTTATTTAGAATTAAAAAAAAGTGTGGAATTTCAATGTAATTTGAAAAAGATCTCATAAATGTTGTTGTATCATTAATTTTTTTTATAGAGAGGGCTTTGTTCTAAGATGTGAATTTATATTTTATTATAAATCATTTAAATGTAATTTTATCATTCATATAAAAAGTTAAAAAAAATTAATAGTATATTTTGGACTCTAACTCTTTTTTTTTAAATAGTATATAATTTACATTAAATGAATAAATTTTAACTATAGTATATTTTTTTTATACATAAAATGTCAAGAATATATTCAACCTAAGATGACTGAAATTCATTCATAAGGTAATTTTTTTGTTGATTCCTTTGTTATTTTTCTCTTAGTTCGATTTCAACTATATTGTTGAGCTGCACCTGGTTTATTTTTAAAAGAAATGTGAGAGTGGCTTGAATGGTTGGATAAATAGTTTCAGCCATAAACATGAAATGTTAAAATGTGAATGTTTTGCAGTGAAACAATGATAAGCACGTACAACAATGTTAAATGTGCAGAATGAAAAAAGATGTTTAGATAATGATAAACACGTAAAACTAGCTGAATTAACAAGCATTGATGACTTATGATCCATTAAATCTTCAATCTGACTCTGATTGCTCCTAGCTTGCTTGTTGAGATCCAGCTTATGGCCAACAACTAGAATTATTTTCATACAGCTTCGGTTTTAATTTGAAACAAAAATAAAGATTGAGTAATCTATTACCAACCATTAATGCTTTATGCTACATGATAATTTTCCTTGTTAGCACAAATCTATTCTCAGCATTTTTTTCATTGACAATATGAAAGTCAATTATCATTGACAATATGAATTGAAACAACTTGAATTATTGGCCTGATAGAGTCATGAAACCAGCCATAGTTTGTCACAAGTTGGGTGGCAAGTGGAAAGAGTGAACTTTTCATGGAAGGTACATTAAAAGCCATTTTCTGGTTACATAGCTCAATGATGAATGAGTGAAATCCATATAAGTATTAGCACGTGCATGTTCACTACAAAAAATTTTAATATTACCGACGGCTAAAAATCCGTCGGTAATATTTTTATTATTTATTAAATATTTTACTTATATAACTTATAGAAATTTTTATTATTTATCATTAATTATTATCACCAATTACATTTTTATAGCCTTCAGTTATTATCAGATTAAGAGAATTGTCATTGGCAGAATTGAACCTAAGTACCTTAGAAGTCGAGATCGATACTCTAACCACTAAGCTACTTAGAATTTTTTGATAATAATTTACAAATAAAATATATTTATATACAAATATATTTATATACAAATATATTTATATATTTATATATTTATATATTTATATATTTATATATTTATATATTTATATATTTATATATTTATATATTTATATATTTATATATTTATATATTTATATATTTATATATTTATATATTTATATATTTATATTTTATATATTTATATATTTATATTTTATATATTTATATATTTATATTTTATATATTTATATTTTATATATATTTATATATATATATATATATATATATATATATATATTTAATTTTTTTAATTAGGTGTAATTTACAGCTGAATTTAATTAATTATGAATTTACCGAACGGATATATCCGTCGGTAAATTCATCTGTAAATTATCGACGAATATATCCGTTCGGTAAATTCATCGTCAGAATTACAGACGGATTTAGCGACGGATATATCCGTCGGTAAATTCATTTGTAAATTACCGACTAATTTAGCGACGGATATATCCGTCGGTAATATCAAATTTCACAAATATTTTATATCCGTCTGTAATTTCAGTCGGTAATGATTATTTTCCGACGGATACAAATCCGTCGGTAAATATCCGTCTGATATACGCTAATTTTTTGTAGTGGTTCACGATATGCTGGGAACATCGTAGAGGCGTCTGCATTCTCCACACCAGCCAATACACTCTGACGCGAATGTTCTCTCACTACAACAAAAATATCAAATTGTGATCGAATTTTCGATCACTAAACGACTAAAATCGATCACTAACTAAAATAGTGACAGAAATAGTAACCAACTAAAATCGGTCACTAACAAAAACATAAAAAAAATTAAAAATATTTTTTTATAACCCCTTTCTATTTTATCTAATTATAATAATCTCTAACCTCCATTTTATATTCTTTTATAATATATTTTTACTATTTATTATAATTTTCAAAAATTTGAATTATTATTAAGTTTTAAATAATTGTCAATACCGAGTGATTGATACTCCAACCACTAAAATATATAAATACAAATACAAATATATTTAGATATTTATATGTTGGATGTGAGGGCGCTTCGAGGGTGAAAGTGTGTGTCGAAGTGGATTTTCAAAATTTGATGTCAAATTTGTGAGCGGGTATCTTATATGAGTTTATAATTTAATGACAGAATATAATCTCTATAATTTATTTATATAATGATATAAAATAAATTTTTTCTTTATTTATTTTTATTTTATTTTAATTTATTCTTTTTATCTTTTTTTCTTCTATTATTTAATTAAAATTCTTATATTAAAATAATTTTTTCAATATTAAAAATAATTAAATATTTATTTTTAAAATTATTTAATTTAAAAAATTATTATAAATTAATCTAATTATGATTATTAATAGAACAATTTTTTCCTAACATATATTATTATAAATTAATCAAAATCATCTTTTAATAATTATTTTTTCCAGACATAGATTAATTTATAATAATTTGTTAAATTAAATAATTTTAAAAATAAATGTTGAAAATAAATATTTAATTATTTTTAATAATGAAAAAATTATTTTAATATAACAATTTTAATTAAATAATAGAAGAAGAAAAAAAGATAAAAAGAATAAATTAAAATAAAATAAAAATAAATAAAGAAAACAATTATTTTATATCATTATATAAATAAATTATAAAGATTATATTCTATCATTAAATTATAAATCCATATAAAGAGACTCGCTCACAAATTTGACATCAAATTTTGAAAACTCACTCGACACATACTTTCACCATCTAACGTGACCCTGACATCGAACATATAAATATATAAATATATCAAAATATATAAATATATTTATATTTATATATTTTATATTTATATATTTACACGGATATACATTTATTTGTATATAAATATAATTTATTTGTAAATTTTTATTAGAAAATTCTAACAGTTTAGTGGTTGGAGTATTAGTATCTATCTCTAAGGTACTGGTTTTGAATCTTATTAGTGATAATTTTCTTAATCTGATAAAAAAAACTTTCTTAATAAGAGAAATTATATGTTTTTGTGATAAGACGATGATATTTTTAAGTTAAACTAAAATTAGGGCAATTAAGTTGTTGTTATGGACTAAAACCCAAAAAGTAAAAAATAAAAAATATAATTAAATGAAAGAAAAAATATATACTTTTACATTTTTAT